GGGGGGGTTAAGGTTCCAGGGAAAATTTTTTTGCCAGACAAAAGACTTATATGCTGTTTGACTCACAGCTGTGACTAGGGTAAGTGAATATCCTCTGGGCCCAGGGTGAGGGTGTGGGCCAACAACACTCCCTCTCCCCCAGGCCAGCAGAGTCCTCCCCATGCAAGCTCTGGGGGTTTGGGCTTGATAGAGGAGCCAGGCAGAGCAGGCAAGCAGCAGCATGTAGGAAGGGACACTGTGCTGCATCCTTTCCCAGCACCCCGGGGGATGTCTCTGCTGGCCTCTGAGCAGCAGATCACACAAATGCCTGCTCCAGATAAGTATCAGAGGGGTAGCCGTGTTAGTCTGGATCTGTGCACCCAACAAAGTGGGTACAGGTCTGTCATCTTATGCTGGGGTTACGTTCCGCAGTCAGAGCCTAAAGCAAAAATCTCGTATAGTCAAAATTACATTGAGTGTAATGGCAGGCGGAATCGCCTGCACTACAGGAAGAATATTTAAATTGTCATTTTCCTCTTTTTTGTTTTTGTTTTGTTTTGTTTTTGCCGACCGCATAAAGCTGAAATCGCACATGTTAAATGTGCCTAAGATGTGACAGACTTGTATTCACCCACGAAAGCTCATGCTCCAATATGTCTGTTAGTCTATAAGGTGCCACAGGACTCTTTGCTCCTCCAGATAAGTCACTGAACAACTCCCCCACCCCCCGGGGAGACCAGTCATCTCCTAAGGCAGTGGTTCTCAAACTTTTGTACTGTTGACCCCTTTCACACAGCAAGCCTCTGAGTGAGACCCCCCTTAAATATATAAAAAAGTGTTTTTAATTTGTAACACCATTATAAATGATGGAGGCAAAGCGGGGTTTAGGATGGAGGCGGACAGCTCGCAACCCCCCATATAACAATCTCGCAACCCCCTGAGGGGTCCCAACCCCCCGTTTGAGAACCCCTGTCCTAAGGGAACCAATCTGCCAGGTTGCATGATACGCTCGGGACACACAACGCAGAGACATTGGGCCTTTAGATCCCTGAAGAGCTGGAGACAAGCCATAGGCTTCTGGAAGACCTTCCTCTCAGAGCAGCAGCTAATCCCGAGAGGAGCAGGTGGAGGGAGCAGCAGCAGCGATCTCGCAGGAGGAGAAAGCAGCCCTGAGGCAGCCGCTCTGCTGGGGCAGGCTGCCCTCAGTCGCTGCAGCATCTGGGAGCCGGTCAGAGGCAAGAGCCGCGAGTGATGGGGTCCCAGCACAGCTTGGCGCTAGCGCAGGGGGTGTCTCTAGGTGCAGGAAGTCTGGCGGCGAATCAGCAGCTCTCTCTGCTACCGGGTGAGTAAACCTGCCCTGGGCAGCAGAGGAGAGCGCCTATAATCCAGAGATACCGACTTTTCAAACTGACGGGGGGTGCTCGACCTTCAGCTCTGCCCCAGGCCCTGGCCCCCACTCCACTCCTTTCCCCAAGGCCCCACCCCACCTCCTCCCACCTCAGTTCTGCCTCCTACCCCCAGCACACCACATCACTCCGTGAAACGGCACTGGTGAACATTGTGCAACTTTAAATTAGCATGTTCTCTAATACAACAGCGACTAAAACAAAAGAACTTTAACCGAGACGACTTTAAGTGAGGAGTTACTGTAAACTTTTCAGTAGTAAAGCACTTTGAATATGGATTTTTCTATACCTGTGTCACTGAAATCAATTATTATAGCACAGTAAAACCTGCTTGACTCAACTATCAGTCACTCTTTAAACCATAAACTCAGACAATAGGAAACAAAGGAAACAAAGCATAACTAATAATTTGCAGAGCTACAAAAATTATTCCGCAACCAATGTAACTGAACAATTTAAGCAACTGCAGAATCCCATTTGGTCACATTCCAATAAAGGAATAGGCATTGCTGTAATCACTTCAACACCACCAAACTGATTAAAACCCTAGCAACTTAAACTGTTTACTCACCAAACAAGCCCTTATTCAACCCTAGCTGCCCTCCATTCCCTAAGTTTAAGGTCCATATTTAAATGTGGTTCCATGTGTGTAGCTCCCATGGAAATCAATGTAAATTGTTTATAAAAACTGATAGTTGACTAAAGGCCTTCATAAAGGGAAGTAACAGCCAACCTAATTACAGTACAATCTGAAGAAATATTTGAATGGTTGTTCAGTCATATTACTGAAGATCTAATATGCCAATCCTACCTACCAAAAGCATAAAAGTCTTATCTATTTACACCATAATATATATTGCAGGCGGGCAATTTAAATATTGCACTTTTTGTAAATATATACAGCCAGTAAATATTAAAATATTGGATATTTAAACCATTTTATGTGTCCGGCAAACTCTATTACAGCGGTTTTCAAACTCTTTTTCTGGGGACCCAGTTGAAGAAAATTGTTGATGCCCGCAACCCAATGGAGCTGGGATGAGGGGTTTGGGGTGTGGGAGGGGTTCAGGACTGGGGCAGAGGGTTGGGGTGCGGGGGTGAGGGCTGCAGGATGGGGCTGGGAATGGGGGGTTCAGTGTGTGGGAGGCGTCTCTGGGCTGGGGCAGGGGTTTGGGGTGCAGGAGGGGGTTGGGGGCTGGGTGCAGGAGGGGCTCCAGGTTTTGGGGGCTCGGCTGGGGTAGGGAGTTGGGGTGTGGGAGGGGGTCAGTGCTCTGGGCTGGGGGGTTGGGGTGCAGGAGGGGGGTCAGGGCTGTAGGCTGGGGCTGCGGATGAGGAGTTTGGGGTGCAAGAACGGGTTCCAGGTTTGGGGGGCTCAGGGCTGAGGCACACAAGCGGCTCCGCACAACTCTTACCTGCAGGCACCAAGCCCCTCCCCCCCCAAGTTCCCACTGGTCGGTTCCCAGCCAATGGGAGTGCAGAGCCGGTGCTCAGGCAGTATGCAGAGCCACATGGCCCCCCTGCCGGGAAGCCGGACTGCTGCTGGCCACTTCTGGGGCACAGCGCGGTGTTGGAACAGATAGGCACTAGCCTGCCTTAGCCAGGCAGCACCACCGACAGGACTTTTAACGTCCCGGTTGGCAGTGCTGACCAGAGCAAGGCAACCCAGTGCCTTACATGCCGTGACCCTCTACTGAGTCACGACCCACAGATTGAAAAACACTGCTCTATTACATATTCAAATTAGCACCAATGTTATTATGGGGGCATTGATATGAACTCTATAGTTGAAGCTGCACTGAGATTTTCACTTACAAACAGGACTAAACTTCTGTTTCACAACTCAGTGTTTGATTTAAGTCTCCAAATTTGACACATTAACTCTTCAGAAGGCAACTCAATTTACAATAATTCTTTTAAATAATATTTACTCACTTCTGCCACAAAAACATTTAAAAAACTAAAAATGATCCGTATTCAAATTTGCTTTGTATTGCTCATAATTCTTTGGAACCCTCTAGCTAACCAATCACAACCTGCACCAACTCAGAACTTCTCACACAGTATCCTGATTGGAGCTGTGTAAATAACTGATTTTTTGTTTTTTTGGCTGAAATGAAAATTCTGAAAAATATTTCAGATGAACACAAAACAAAAAACAAAAACAAACAATTGTTTTGGGTTATATAAAACATTCTGTTTGATCTGAAATAAAGTGTTTCATTTGAGGCATTTATAACTTTTTTCTATTACAAGTAAAGCTCTTGATTAATCGCAGTTAACTCATGCAATTAATTAACAAAATTAATCATGATTAAAAAATTTTATCACGATGAATTGCAGATTTAATCGCACTGTTAAATAACAGAATACCAATTAAAATCGATTAAATATGTTTGGATGTTTCCCTACATTTTCAGATATATTGATTTCAATTACAACACAGAATACAAAGTGTACAATGCTCACTTTACATAATTTTTTATTACAAATATATGCACTGTAAAAATGATAAATAGTATTTTTCAATTCCTCATATAAGTATGGTAGTGCAATCTCTTTATTGTGAAAGTGTAACTTACAAAAGTAGATTTTTTGTTACATAACTGCACTCAAAAACAAAACAATGTAAAACTTTAGAGCCTACAAGTCCACTCAGTCCTACTTTCTGTTCAGCTAATCGCGAAGACAAACAAGCTAATTTACATTTACGGGACATAATGCTGGTAAATTATTATTTACCATGTCACCTGAAAGTGAGAACAGGCATTCGCATGGCACTTTTGTAGCCAGCATTGCAAGGTATTTACGTGCCAGATACGCTAAACATTCATATGTACCTTCATGCTTCAGCCACCATTCCAGAGAACATACTTCCATGCGGATGACGCTTGTTAAAAAAAATAATGCGT